GAAGTTACGCACAAACTTCCTATGGTAGTTGGCTAGTCCAAGAAACAACCGCAGTTCACTCTGTGTATGTGGGGTCGGCCAATCTCTAATTGCTGCAATTTTCGCGTCTTCTGGTCTAACTCCATGTCCATCTACGACATGGCCTAAGTACAATACTTGTAGTTTCGCCCACTCCCACTTCTTGGGATTCAGTTTGAACTTAGCTTCACAAAGCTTGTTCAAAATCAGTCGAAGGTGCTCTTGATGCTCCTCAAGAGTCTTACTAAAATCAAGATGCCGTCTAAGTAAACCACGACGAACTTATCTAACCACTCTCCAAACATGCAGTTCATGCATCTCTGGAACGTGGCAGGGGCATTGGTCATCCCAAACGGCATGACCACAAACTCGTAGTGGCCATATCTAGTCCTAAACGCCGTCTTGTGCTGATCCTCAGGCTGTACCTCTATCTGATGGTACCCTGATTTCAACTCTATCTTTGAAAAATACTTGCATCCCTGCACCCTGTCCAACAAGACATCTATTTTGGGCAACGGATCAGCATTCTTGACAGTTAGCATTTAGACCCCTATAGTCTATGCACGTACGCAGTTCGCCTTCTTTCTTAGGCACGAATAGGACCGGTGCCGCGTAGGGCGAGGAACTGGGCTTAGTCCGCCCCTTCTCAATCAACTCATCCAGCTGTTTCCTCAATTCCTCCAACTCCCTGGGAGACATCCTATAGACCGGGCCCTTAGGAGTCTTGCTACCGGGTTCAACATCGATCTGGTGCTTGATCTCTCTCTCCACTACACCGGTTGGGACTTTTCCCACATTTGCGAACTCCTTCAGCAGATTTTGGACTTGGGGCGGTACTAATCTCTCCTCCTTTTTCTCCTCACTAACCGGCCTAGCATATGCAACGAAGACTTGGTCAGCAAGGTCTTGCTTGAAACGTGCCAAGCGAACGTGGGGGCACTCATGCAGCACAATGAAAGAACAGACTGGACTTAAGACTCGTGAAATAGTCTGATTTTCTTCTTTCCACCTTGGGGGCTGGGTAACAACACTCATGCTCGCCCATCTTTACTTTGGCCTTCGTGGCCTTTCCCCAATCCGTCCCTAACAACATATCAAAGGGTAGACTATCCTCCACTAGAAGGGTCAAAGAATGCAACACTTTCTCGCTCTTTTTATCCTCCCCCTCCAACCGGAAGTTTGCCCTCACCCCTTCGACGAACTCTTCTACTCTCATCTCCCTATAGTCTGCCAGTTTGCTCACCACCGGCTCTTCTAACTTCTGCACTCTGATTCCTAGATGCAGCTTCTTTAACACCTTTTCTACTGATATAACGACGCGTTGAACCACAGTCAACTAACGTGCCTATCCTCGTCCTACTAACTCCTACATCTGCTAGCACTAACTGTCCTTTTGACTTTTTCTTAATCTCGGCCCAGGCTTGCTCATCACCGATGCATGTGAGGGAACCACCTAGAGAGACCCTGACACAAGCAGTCTCTGGACAGTCAACTACCGTCTTCACCCGAAAATAATGTCCGGGGGTTGTGTACGAATATAACGCCTGGGCGTTATATTCAGTAAATTTGTGGTAACTTCGGTAGGTTCACAAAGTTCCGAAAAAAAATAAAATAAAAAAATTCTGTAAAAAAAATATGTTGTCCAGGGTTGCCATGTGACCAACTTTTGGCTGAGGGCCACTTCAGAATTCCTTATAAACTCGGAAATAAAAAATAAAACTGAGTACGGATCCGGGTCGCCCGGCCAAGCGGCGCCCGCCCGGGGGAGGTCCCGGGCGGCCTGGCCGGGCGGGCGGCCCGGTTGGGGGCCGGGCACCCCCAGCACACCTTGTTGGCGGGGGGTTTCCGACCCCACATCGGGTGGTTTTGGCCTCCCCAGGGCCTACCGGGTCCGACCACGCCGAGAAAACGGCGCATCGGGCCTGTGAGGCCTGTTTTTTTTTTTTTAATTTGGGACGGCCCTCTGGCCGTCGACCATCCATGATCGACGGCCAGAGGGCCGTTCGTTTTTGGAGGGAAACGGAGGCCCCGTTTGAACTAGCGACTGGCTGGGGCGGCCTGCATTCGTTGTCCAAACGGGGCCTCGATAGCTGCTCCAGCCGCCTGCGTTCGTGCTGCTGCCCCTCGTTGAAGTAGCTGCCCTCGTCGCCATCGCCTGGGAGCTTCACTCGCCCGTCGTCGTCGTGTCGCCCGTCGCCCGTCGCCAGCGTCGTCGATCGTGGTGCTCCTGCCTGCCGACATCCGTTGCCGCCCGTCGACGTGGAGTGCCGGTCTTCTTCTTCTTCTTCTTCTTCTTCTTCTTCTTCTTCTTCTTTTCCTCCTCCCCCCGCTCATTCTTCTGCTTCTTCTTATCTCGTCCTCCTCCTCCCCCTCTCTTCTTCTTCTTTGTCTTCTTCTTCTTCTTCTTCTTCTTCTTCTTCTTCTTCTTCCTCTTATACTTCTTCTGCCTCCTCCCCCTCTCATCTTATTCTTCTTCTTCTTCTTCTTCATCTCTCGTCGTCGTCCTCCCCCTCATCTTCTTCTTATTATTCTTCTCTCCTCCTCCTCCTCTTCTGACTATCTTCTTTTTCTGCTTTTTTTTTACATTAGTTAGCGATGGGTCGTGAGATAAACGACAGGTAAGAAAAAAAAAAAAAAACTGCTCCGCTCCTCTTCTTCTTCTTCTTCCTCTTCCTCCTCCTCCTCCTCCCCTCCTCCTCCTCCTCCTCTTCTTCTTCTTCTTCTTCTTCTTCTTCTTCTTCTTCTTCTTCTTCTTCTTCTTCCTCTTCTTCTTCTTCCTCTTCCTCCTCTTCCTCCTCTTCCTCCTCGTCTTTTCTTCTTCCTCGTCTTTTCTTCTTCTTCTTCTTTTCTTCTTTCTCTTCTTTTCTTCTTCTTCTTCTTTTCTTCTTCTTCTTCTCCTTCCTCTTTCTTCTTCTCCTTCCTCTTCTTCTTCTCCTTCTTCTTCTTCTCCTACTTCTACTTCTACTTCTACTTCTCCTCCTCCTCCTTCCCTCCGCCGTACCCTGCCGTCATACCCCCACTCCGCCGCCATACCCTAACGTCGGCATAGCACTTCTTCTTCTTCTTCTTCTTCTTCTTCTTCTTCTTCTTCTTCTTCTTCTCTCCTCCTCCGCCTCCCACTCATCTTCTTCTTCTTTCTCTTTTCTCCTCCTCCTCCTCTTCCGCCCATCTTGTTCTTCTTGTTCTTCGACCGCCTATCCCGGCCGGCCAGGCCCGGCCGGGCGGCGTCCGTACTCAGAAATAAAAACAAAAAATCAAGCCGAAATATACCCCTTGGAAGTCAAAGCCCCATTCAACCCTCTTCAAAACCCATGTATACCCCCTTCCTTGCCCTTAAAAACCCATGTATACTATCTCTTCAAGGCACTCTACCCATGGAACATTCAAATATAACGCTCGGGCGTTCGATTAGAAGGGGCGTTCTATTTGAAAAAAAGTGAGTAAAAACGAAAATCTCATATTTTTAGGGTAAGTTGAATATAACGCCCGGCGTTATTTTCGGGTGAAGACGGTAGGTGGGGACCAACATCAGCCTTTGCCACTGGGGTCCTCAGACAGGAGGTGCCTACATCAGCGCACACTTCTACCTGTCTATCAAAGTCTGAGGCCCTTGTAGGAGCGGCCACGACTCCTACTGGCCATTGCCGTGTGACAGTTGCTGAACGTCTGGACAAAAGGCAATGATGTGGTTGGGGTCTCCACACCTCAAACACTGCCTATCTCTCATCCTCTGACGCTAGAGATGTTCCGGTGTCTTCATTGCGATCCAGGGATCTCCTTGCTCAAGACCAGGATGTCGAGGGTACCTATGTTCCTCTCTAGACCCCTGACCACTGTCATTAGAGAGGGCATTATTGCCCCCTCCAATTCCTTGGGAAGCGGGGGATACCTGACCACCTTGCGGGGTACCATAGCCCCTGCCACCCGCTTGGAACCCCCCTCGGCCTCCAAACCCCTGGGTAGCCCTTCCCCGGCCTCCACCTCTTCCACCTCGGTCTTCCTTTCCGTGGCCTCCTCTTCCTTGCCCTCCCCCGTAGGCTACTATGGTCGCGTAGTCACCTCCTACAACTACTTGACCTCCCCCAAACTGCTGCTCATACTCTAGGTGACCGAAATCAACTTGTTCAAGGGGGATTTCCTCTGCACCTCCCTCCTCGACCGTCACCAAGAGTTTGTCTCCGGCCTGCACATTGCCAGAGATCATCCTGCCCTTCCACTTCTTCCTCCTCTCTATATCCTTGAAGTAGTGGAAGTTGGCTTGCCCCAAGAACCCCCACCATTCTAGCGTCTCCTTGCCAAAATCTGCATAAGTTGCGCCTTCAGCCGCTACCTGTGGGTACATCTGCATTCTAAGGGGCTTGGGCAGGGCCATAGCGAAGTACTCCAGCACCTGCTTTGGTGTGACGCCATGGTCCGGCACCTGCAGCAACTCATCCATGTATGCCTTCAGGGCGTGGACACACACTTCCAGTTCCCTCTATACACGTTTAAGATCTTCGCCGCCGTATGCCTCCCCCTCGTCTTATCCTCAAATCGCTTGTACAGGGTGTCTAGGTAGGTGTTACATGCTGAGCCTGCACACACGGGGCCCATTTCGGGTGGCCCGACGGTTGTTGAGGGCCCCCAGGCCGCAGGATTCGATTCAATGCAGCATTCATTTATTTATTTATTTACTTATCATTCGCTGCCCTATTTTTGTCTGTTCAGACGTCATTTCGGACTTGCAGTCCCCAAGGCCGCACCTTGGGCTAGGTACACCAGGAGGCAGGGCCCTTTGAGGCCAGGTTCAGTTTCGCATCCTGCTGCATCAGCGGGAAGGTCTGGAAGCCCGGTAGGGACCCAGACAGTGTGGGCCGTTCTCAGGCCAGAGCAAGGTCGCACCAGCGAGGCCCAGCGCTATACATAGCTGGGCCAGGCCAGGGCTCACAAACAGTTCGAGTAGCCCACTTCTTGGGTGACACGCTGCTGTCGCGCTGCGTTAGAGTAGAGGCGCAGGTAGGAGATGAGGTGGTGGCCATACCTGCAGCGGCGGACTTACCTGAGCGCATAGCTGGACGACGTGCCAGCGACCTGCACACAGACATGCCGAGGCAGTTAGTACATGGCAGCAGTTCCCTGCAGGTGAGACAACGAGGAGGATGGCATCTTCTTCTTCGTCATCGTCTCGCCCTCCATCTCTCCTCCCTCCTACTTTCTTCTTCGTCTTCGTCTTCGTCTTCTTCTTCTTCTTCTTCTTCTTCTTCTTCTTCTTCTTCTTCTTCTTCTTCTTCTTCTTTCAGAGAGAGAGAGAGAGGTTACTGGCAGAGGTTACATCGGGCATCTTGCCCAGGATCTGATTCGACATTTTTGTGGCAGACATTGGTTGGACATTCGGCAGGGGACTATTTTTTGACTTTGCTATCGCGATCTTGGTCTTCTCCTTCGCCTCCATCTTCGTCTCGCCTCTGCCCCCATCTCTCATCCGTGGTATCTCCCCCATGTGTGTGTGCAAGGAGGGACCTTTCTTCCATGTATGTGGTCCCTCCTCCCTCTCTCACATGTGTGGTGTATGATGGGATGTCGCGTCAGTCCCCGATGAGTGAGGTCATATCTTTGAGTTTTCCGCTGCGCTACATTGTGCTACTTTCATATGTATCTGGATGTACATTGCTTGTTGATGCTTTGTTTACATTGCATTGTCCAGACGAGTCCTTTTCATTACTTTGCGGATCCTTGGCTCCATATACATTGCTCGACTGAGCATGTATCAGTAGGTGTCTAAGGGGGTGATGCGGGAGTATTCGACAATATCTCCCCCGCATCCGGCGTTCGCTATGAGAGATGCTGAATAATTTGCTGCATCGCCGCCAAGACGTGAGGCAGTGAATATGACCTGGCCTGTCCTCGCCACCTTTTAGCCGTGCACATAACTTCTAACGGCCGCCTCCCACTGCAAGAAATTCTCCTCCTTCCCACCATTATAGGTCCAGAGCATCTTCATTTTGATCTTGTCCCTGGCCTCCTCCTCATCCTCGTCTACTCTCTCCTTCCCTGGTCTCCTTCCCTTCTTAACTCCTCCTTTCTTATCACCATCAGGGGGGCCACCACGAAGCGGGTGGGAATTCTTGATGATTACATCTTGTTTTCTTTTGAAATTAGAAAATTGAAAGTAATTGGAACGATACAGAGAAGATTAGCATGGCCCCTGTGCAAGGATGACACAAAAAAAAAAAACAAAAAAAAAAACAAAAAGGTAAGTGTATTTTTAAATATTTACTGTTGTTGCTGTTGTTGTTTATGCAGGTAGCCCATCCTGTATTGATAACAGAGTGTCCTGGAAACCCCCTTTACTCACGAAGCAAAATGGCAGAGCTTATGTTTGAGGCCTATGACGTGCCAGCTCTAGGTGACTAAGGGCTTGTCCCTGCTCTTGCCTTTTTTTCTTCTTCTTGAGCTAGAAGCTGGACTCAATAGGAAGGTGGGTAGAGGGAGGATATGAGTGAAGAATATAGGTTAGTTTTTTAAAAGAAGAAAAAAAAAAGAAAACGAAATGATGACCAATTATCTTTTGCAGTGGTTGGCTGCCTCTTCGATGAATGTTTTTTTTTTGTGTGTTCATAGCCGTTATTTGTTAATGAACTTTTTGGTTTTCTTGGGAACCATAGCATGGTGTGATTTGTTTCTGTACTCGGGGGTCTGTAGTCGCGGGGGGAAGGGGAAGTAGTTGAGGGGGAAAAAAAGAAAGAAAGTGGTTGTTGGGGTTGTTACAAGGTACAACTGCCTCTTATTCGGCGAAGTTGGAATCAGTCCAATTTACAATTTAGAATTTGATAGCGTTATAAGCTGGGTGAGGACGGCGCCCGGCCGGGCGTGCCCGGGGGGGCTGCCCGGGCAAACCGGGCGGGCCGAAAAACACCCAAGAATTTTTTTTTTTTTTTTTTTTCTGAAGGCGGGGTCTCTCCGCGCTCGGCGAGAGGACCCCGAATTTGCAATAAAATTTTGGGTTGGGGGGGGGGGGCCTGGGGGGAGCTCTGCATGCATTTTGCCTGCTGAATGCTGAATGCAGGTCATCGGGGGGGGGATCTGCATGCATGTTGCCTGCTGAATGCTGAATGGGGATGGGATGGCGAGATGGGATGGTGGGATGGACGTCGAGATGGGATGGTGGGATGGATGGCGAGATGTGACGGAAGGAGGAGGAAGGAGGAGGAAGGAGGAGGAAGGAGGAGGAAGGAGAAGGGGGAGGAAGAAGAAGGGGGAGGAAGAAGAAGGAGGAAGGAGGAAGAAGGAGGAGGAGGAAGGAGGAGGAAGAACAAGGAAGGAGGAGGAGGAAGAAGAAGGAGGAAGGAGGAGGAGGAAGAAGGGGTGGATGGCGAGATGGGATGGTGGGATGGGTGGCGAGATGGGATGGTGGGATGGATGGCGAGATGCGATGGACGAGAAAGGAAGAAGAAGGGGGAGGAAGAAGGAGGAGGAAGAAGAAGGAGGAAGGAGGAGGAAGAAGAGGAAGGAAGGAGGAGGAAGGAGGAGGAAGAAGGAGGAGGAAGGAGGAGGAAGAAGAAGGGGTGGATGGCGAGATGGGATGGTGGGATGGGTGTCGAGA